GTTGGCTGCTGGTAAGCCGTGTATCATGCTTTTACGCCACCCTTCCTCTTCGAAGCACCCACCTAATAATACGCTAGACAAGTAGCTCCTACCCTGTTGCTTGGATGAACCAATCTTTCTACATAGTACTACGTCGACGTAATCGGACAGCTAACGAGACACTCGACTAATCGCATAAGACGTCATCCTCAAGCTAACTTTTATTCTCACATTCTTTTATTTTCTGTTCGAGCCTCGATTTTTTTTTTTTCAATTGCTGATATCTAGCAAAGTAGCTATCGTATGAAAATACCTTTGTATTATTTCCCTTCTATTCTTATTGTCAAAAAGAAAGAAAAAATCGTGTATTTGTTAGTACTATATTTAAATTTGTATCAGTGCTAATACGTATATACATTTCTTTTTTTTTTTTTTTTTTTTACACGAAACCCGTTAGGACTTTTTTTGGCTTTATTTGCGAATGGAATCGACAGGACGACATGAAATTCGTTTAATCTTCGAATGTCTGTCCATCGGTTTTTGTGGAGAAAGCACCGGCTATGTTTTGCCGGATATCCGCAAATAGTTATTACATAAGAAGAAAAATTAAATGGACGTAGTAACTCTCCATTTGAAATGGAAAACATTTCTTTTTTATTGTTTTACGATTTACGATAATAAATAGTTACGACGGAACCATTTCATTTCTTTTATTCTAAATTAAAATCAAACAATAATATCATCATTTTGTCATCTAATTGTATGTAAGTTACAAGCTTTTTCGCAACTATTTTTATTTCATTTATTTTATTTTTTATTTAATTTTTATTTTATATTTTTTATTTAAACTATATATATATAAAAAAAAAATGTAATTTAGAAAGTAATTATATTTAATTAAATAAACAAGAAGGAAATCACCATTTTACAATTATTTCATTTATGGAAAAAGAGCATATAAATTAATTTTTTTAAACTCATAAAAAAGAAATATTATCTTCAAATTCATATTCAGAAAGTTTAAAGTCCATGCTACTACAATTTAAACAAAATTGGTTTTAATTGCATTACTTTTCATTAAGTAATATTCTAATAAAACCTTGAAATTCAATTTTGGAAAATCAATTTTCTCGAAATAGCGTTTTGGCGTATCTATAAATAGCCTTAATTATTACTTCAATCATTTTTCATATTCCAACAAGTTAACACCGTAGCTCGACCTATATATGCATACTAATGCATTAAAATAATTAATAATTTCGATTAATTTACGTCAATCAAAATAATGTATAGTACACATACCTTACTGCCGTTTAACAACACAATATTATATTTTCCCAAAAATTTGTTACTATTAAAATAAAAATGTTCTATATAAGATCAAATCGAATGATTAAAAAATAAGATGTAAACAATACCGACTGATCGGTAAAACAATGGTCGGCAATACAGAACCCTACTATTACCATTATCGATCGAATATTCCGTAAAAGAAAAAATTACTATTACCGGCACTACTGATGGTTTAACAAAAATTTATTTTACTCACCACAATAATCGGTAAAACAGAAGTACACTATTACCAATTTATTTATCATGTTGCTGATACTGATGCTGTTCAATATCTTTCACTATAAAAATGCATGCGTTCATTGATATAAATATGGAAAATATAAGAACAACTACAATAAAGATACTGCTCTAACCAAGTACATAAAATAGGAATCTACTTTACCATTTATTTTAATCAAGAAATCGTCGTTATCGACTGATGGAAAAACAGGGATCTATTTGCCTATCAATTAGTAATTAAAAAGTGTATTCACAGGCAAGATTTAAGTCTTATTTTCAACTATGCTTTATTTTTTGAAATACCGAAAATTTATTTTTTTTTTTGCTTTGAGGAAATTTATTCCCTTGTCTAAACCATGTACATTTTAAATGTATTCTTTATTTTAATATTTAAATGAATTTGTCGGATATAACTAAAATCTTATATTTTTATTGAAAAGCCAATATTAATTACATATAAATTACCTGCACCATATAATTTTATTAATATTATTCTTATTAATTTTTTTTCATTAGATTATCTTTAGATTACTTAATTTTATTAAATAATTTCGAAAACTTTCTGCAGTTTCGCAACGCCATCTGGATTTTTCGATCGCATAATTTTAAAATCAATAACACAAACTAATCCTTATAAAGAACGTAAAAAGTATATATTAACGACCATATATCTTAACTATATCACAATGATATACATAAATATAACTAATAATTTATAATATAATATAATACATTCCTATATAATCTCATACATGCAGTAGAAATTGTAAATTTCTTATCTTTCACGTATTAATTTTCTTATTAAGAACGTATCCTTTATAGTGATTATTTATAAAATTATATGAATTTAATAATTCAATTGAATGAAATAAGAATTATAAGTTTTAAAAAATTATAATTATGTTATTTCCTGAATGGACAGTGATCGCGAGGACATCTTTATAGCGTCTATGAATTATTGTACTCATCATGGCTTCAACGGGTTAGTGTTTAGTAAAAATTTATGTCTATGTTATTTTGTAAACACCATTTAGAGTTAGAAATGTTTTCACTAGTGTTCTTAAATATTACTTTTTTCAAATGTAAAAGCTTTCAATTGATGTATGGCATGCTAAAAACCTAATTTTTACACGCTCTTGTGCCAAGTGTTTTTGACATTTTACATTTTTCTTTTATGTTTTTAATAACGTTTAATAAAAATAATATTTTACGTTTAGAGTCTTTGGTATGCGATACGCTCGATTTAAGCGGTCAAGGTCTTAAGAAACTTGCTCGATGCCCATCTGATGCTGAAATCAGTACATTAATCTTAGATGACAATGAGCTTCAACGTCTTGATAATCTTGATTCATATCACAGAATTAATAAGGTATATTTCTTATTGTATTAACAAAATTGTCATAATAACACTAAATACATTATACAGTAACATTATAATAATACTAAATTTAATTATGTTAATATCCTTCTTGCTATAAGCTTTGTTATTTGGTATAGTAAACCTGAATTTATCTTAATCATATTTAATATCTAATATGCAACATAACAAAATAAATTAATAAATTTCAGCTTTCAATAGTAAGGAACCAATTACTGCGAATGTATGGTGTATCAAAATTACATAATCTTGTAACCCTTAATTTAGCTAATAATGGTATATTAACAATAGAGGGAATAAAAGATATGATAAATTTACAAACACTGTGTTTAGCAGGTAATAATATAAAGGTAAGTAACTTCATGTTGAATAATTATATATTTTATAAATGATATAATAATGTTAACACAATGATTTCAGTCCATTGAACATTTACATTCAAATACGAAGTTGGAACATTTAGATTTATCTGAAAATAGTATCAGCCACATTTCTGATATTTCGTATTTACGTAATCTTAAGGTATAAAATTTAAATACTTGATGTCTTAATCCTTTTTTTATCATGGCCATTTGCATGTATTTTTATTTTTCTGTTCTTATTATATCTGTTATGTTTTAGGAACTTTTCTTGCATAATAATCGCATAATCACATTACGACAGTGTGAACGCTACTTACCCACCTCATTAGAAACATTTACATTAGCAAATAACAGCATTACTGATTTGAATGAAATGTCTCATTTAGCTAATTTAAAAATTTAATCAACTTTTCAATTGCTAACAATCCATGTGTTAGTATAACAGGTAATAGTATGTATCCTTTCCGATAGTAGCATAATTCTTGCTTATGTATTAACCAACACTTAGTATGAATTAAATATATTTGTATGCAATTAAATACCCTATTTTTTGATATTACTTATAATTGTTAGAATTTTCATGAAACTTATTATAATATATTATCTGAGATTGCTAGATGCAAATGAAACATAAGTGCTGCTTTTAGTATTAAGTTAATAGTATATTCTTCTTAACACATAGTTTATAGTGGATTTGATTATCATCCATTTGTTATCAATTGGTGTATGAGTCTCAAGTCAATTGATGGTTATGCAGTGGATCCTATAGAAAGGTAGGTATACATAGAAGTACATACATTTTACATTAGCTGATAAAATGAAATATGAATATTAAATAAAATGATCGATGACTTAATGGAATTAATATTTACATAGTTTGAAAGCAGAATGGCTATATTCTCAAGGAAGAGGCAGACAATTTCGTGTCGGTGAGCATGCGCTTCTTGCTCAATATTTAGCATCTGTCTGTCCCCTTTCAGGGGAATCTTTAGAGAATGAAACTGACAGAAAACTTAGGCTAATTTTGAGTAAAGCACAACATCACCAGCAGCAACTCAATCAGCAAAGTGACACAGGAAGTGTACATAGCTTAAGTAGCGTCGGAGTAACTCCTTCTCCTGCTGCTAGACGTAGACTTAACCATAACAGGACAAGTTCTCCAAGAAGGCCTAGTGAGTTTAACATCATCTTATTATTTATATAACGTTATATGCAAAATTCACGGTTTTTGTTAGTAAAAATTACTAGAATTTGCTTTACCATTTTTAATTTATTATAGTAAAATGCAGCAATAGCAATAATATGTACGTACATCCTAGTCATAATCTGTTTTCTCTAGTTACACCAATGTTGACATACTATGAAGATAAATGCTTACAATCACCAAAATTTTATGAGGCAAAATACTGTGTCTGCCATTCACCTTGCAAAGGTACCCTAAGTCAAAGAGCAGATTTTAATATATATATATATTATATATATCTCTCTGGTTATGTGGTACATGTGTGTAGGAATATAAGTAATAAATTAGAAATAATTTATATTTACAAATATATTTAAAATAATCAGGTATTGATAGATTCAAATATTAATCACAAATTTAATATAACTTCAAGAAAAAATTTACAACGAAGTGACATCACATTTACTGTCTATATAAAATTCAATATTATGCATTAAATTTGAAAAAATATTTAATATTAAGTCATTTTTAATTTTTTCATCCTACACACATCTGTATCTTTCAAGCATAGTAATTATTAAGCAGTTGCTTTTTTAGGCTTATAGAGCAAATAAATTTGGTGAATGAAAGCAAGAACAATGTTATAAGCTATCTAGGTGCATTTAACAATATAAAGATCAATATTTTATATAGTTCAACATTTCATCTACATTGTTTCATTGTAGTACGTTAACTTAAATTACTAATGGTGGTTTCATTTGCACGCTTTTGCTAGCAATTGCTAGCTGTATATTATCCGAACGTATTATTATATTTGTAGTTTATACTATCCATTCCTAACATTGTTACATTTTATTAGATTCATCAAGAAACTCTATAAGAATGAGATCACCAGATAGAATGGTTTCCAGTTGCCATACAGATGCTATGGTTTCTTCCTGTCATACTTTATTTAATAATGATCATGAACCATTGATGACACAAAGTTTAGATCCAAATATGCTTTGTAATACTTTGAATAATAAAACAGTAAATAATTCTGGATTAGAAGATATGGAAGGTAAAACTAAAAATAAAATATAACATTTTTGATTTACTCAAGCTAAAATTTTGCAAAAAATTTTTTATTTATAGAAACATCAAGTCCTCTACAAGCTGCTACAAAACTAGTGCCAGTTCCAGAATCTTTAATGAGTCCAGATTTTCGGCCGCCCTCTGGATTATCAAAAGTTTTACCTAAAACTCCACCAAGTAAATTAAATTCACCATGCCAAGTAACTATTCCTGCAAAAGCTTCCACAGATGGTGATGCAAAAGCAATTCCTATAATAAATACAGTAAATCCTATGGCAAAAACGAATCTTGGTGCTTTGAAAGCAAATGCACTTGTAAAGAGTAATTCTGCAACAAATTGCTCTATTGGAAAACCAAACATAGCCAAACCTATTATTACAAATACTAATGGAAAATGTCCTCACAGTGTGAAAATTAATAATTATGTACAGAGCAAAACATTACCTGCAAAACGTAGCACCAAAAGTTCACCCTATCTAGGAAGAAATATACAAAGACCTAAAAGTGCATGTGACAGAAATAAATCTAGCTTAATAAAAAGGGGAAAAGATGGAGATGGAGATAACATAGCACTTAGCAGTGACGAAGATAGCGAAGTATGCCAAGCAAAACTGGATAGCATTAGAAGTAGAGCAATTCAAAGACGACAAGAAGATAGTAATAAAGATCAAGATCGTACAGAGAAAGCAGCAATTTGTATTCAAAGAATGTGGAGAGGTTATCATACTAGAAATCTTAATAAAAAAGCAACTACTATACTAAAAACTATTGAAATGATAAGAACAAATAAATATATTCAGTAAGTTATTACTTGTTTCTACATTAAATAAAAATATTTACTACATCATTAAATACATTATTGATATTCTAGAAAATTATCTACTGATATGGAAGCAACAAGAACTGCATTGGAAAGTGAACATAAACTACAATTGCTACAAATGCAAGCTATTAATGCATTATGGAAAAAGGTTGTCAGCTTACAGCCCGGAGGTAGTCGTGAAAATGCGAGTAATGAAAGTGAAACTACTATACAACCAAATGCAGATGTTGTAACAAATCTAACACAAACATGTAATTTATTACATACTCAGGTGAGTTAATATTATGCCAATATTAATATCAATTCATATGATATATAATAAAAAATAATTTGGATATGTGTGTATAGGTACAACAATTACAAGATTCAATGTCGGAAATAAGACGGTGTATGTCAAGTATGCAACCAAAATCAATGCTTGTTGATAATGGAGTTGCAACTCAAACAGAAATTTCAGCTGTTCATACACCTGCTGGTGAAGAAAATACATTTCCTTATGCTAGACCTAACAGACCTCAATCTTTGGCAATACATCAAACAATACACGAGGGGAATGAAAATAAAAGCTTTGCATCTAATTTAGTAGATAGTGTTCTTAAAAAAGTATCACAATCGACCGATACAACTGATGATGAAGTAAACACAGATATTTTAAATTCTAATGAAAATCAAGAACTTCTTAATTCCAATGAACATCCAGATATGTTCAAGAGCTGTGAAGAAATCGTAGAGCCAGAATTTAAAGATGTGGTAGATAGTAAAATAACAAATGAATATGAAGGAATAATTGATAATACTGAGATCAGTGGTGAGGTCTGTGAAGAAACACTGTGCAAGGAATTACATAATCTTATTGAAACTGAAAATTCTGCAGATATGGAGAAACAAAATAATACCAACGAATTTCAAAAAGAAGCATTAAATGCTGATTAAATGTGGTGAATCCTATAGAATATTCTACAATTGTATGTCTCAATAATAAGCTACAAAAAGTGAAATTAATTTTTTGAAAATATTGCTCTGTGTGCAGAATGATTGATAAATATGAAAACAAAATTGAATATTGTAAATAATTGAGATGAAAAGCTCCTAATCATAGCCATAATGACATAAGATATGTGTAGTAGTAAATCGATGTATGTTCAGTAGCAGCGCTTTTTTTACCATTTTTAAAAAATGAAGGAATATCGATCAGGAATTAAAAAGCTGCCACACGTCCTTTTCAATGATATTATGACATGGTTAAAGGAAAACTAAAAATATATACTTATAAGCAATTATCATTGATCTGCAAGTTTAATTGCACTTATAAAGCAATTATGGAAGTTTTCCGTCCATGTATTTAAGTACAGGACATTTTATTAATGTACAAAATAAGCATTCCTAGCACTCAGTATTAAGGACCTCTTTTCTTTTAAAAAAAATGTTATAAAAAATCTGATTGTGTGTACAGGAAGAGCAATTCTGCACATTTGACATATTGATGGCTAATGCCTTTTGTCAATTTTCAGAAATAAGTAGCTATTGTGTATATGAAGATAGAATTTTATTCATATAAACATTTTTCAAGTTAAAAAATTAGATTTAACAAATTTATAATTACTACTTATTAATTATTTATATTTATTTAATATTATTGATTCCAATGATGACAAGTTAGTATTATTATCATGAATGAAATGAATGGATTGTCAGTTAGATAGAGACATAAGACTTTTTTCTCTAGTCAATAGAATATATAGTTCACATATTTAAGCATATTACTTATTAATTAATTATAGAATTGTTATGTAGGTATGCATGTTATATTGAAAATTAACAATCGATATTATATCAAGCAATAGAATTATATTTTGATTTTAATAATCTAGCATTAATACATTTTTGCATATCTGTACACTTTTAACATGATGATTGTAAGCACATAAATATAACAAGCAAGCACTGCTTTAAAGAAATATATACTCAGAAAGAGTGTATATAAAAATTAGTTTTAATACTTCACGAATCTCATTTTTATATATTTTGAGGAGTTTCTTTAATGTGACCATTTATAATTTACTGTATTGTATTAATTCAATATGATATAAAACATTAATTCACAATATGTTATTAATAAATAAAAAAAAGAATGTACATGGATCTGAATATATATAAAGCGATAAAATGTTAAGAAAATTTTCCTCGGTGAAATAATCTTTATTTTATTCAGTTTATATTTTATTTATATTTTTACTATATGTTAAAAATAAAAAAGATCTTCACATAAATTGTCATAAATATTATAAGTAATATTAATATAAAGCAGTGTGCGCTTTGTTAAAATTATTCACTTGCTTTTCTATGTTTTGAATTGCATGGTATTAGTTCACTATACAAATATAATCTAAAGTTTTAATATACAGCATTAACTCAAACAGACACAAATGAATAATCAAAGATCAAGAAAGTATATGAATTTATAAACATAAAAATTTGTATTTATTTTACACCCCAAATATTTTATTTACTTTGTAATTATACAAAGCACCTACAATTTACTGAATTGTAGAAGTTGTGTATGTACACAGCACTTATTTCTTACAGACTATTTATTATTATATTTATGATTACAAGTATTTCAACAAGTATGCAAATTTCTTTATATGATAACATTCATGTTTCTTATAGTCAAAAAAAATTATGCAATGCGGATTTATCTTTTTATACTAATTTGTACTTCAGACACATACCATAATTGTCATGTTTGTATTCATCACTATTATAAATCCTATTATCTTGACATAATATATTATTAAAATTACTATATTAGTTTTTGAACATTCTTTGACAGGTGGCTTTTTCTACTGCTAAATAGGAATTCATTACTTTTTTTACTTTCTCAATTTCTTTTAAAATGTCTTTATTGTTGGGACATTCTGCAAGTGAATGTTTTAAGTCTGCCAAACCAGCCTCATATTCATTTAAACCCATGTATGCTTGTCCTCTTCGAAAAAATGCCTTACCATTTGATGTATCTATTTCCAAGACCTAAATATTATATTAAGATTAAATATAGAATATAAATAATTTTTATATCAGGGAACTTACCTCATTACATAATTTAAGTGTGCTGCGATAATCTTTCTTTTTTAATTGTACAGCAGCTAGATTTAACATAGTTGTTACTTTAAGACCTGTTGCAGAATCACCTAAAGTGTCAGGCATATCAGTCAACTTTATCATCCATTCATAATAACGTAATGCTTTTTTATACTTTCTGCCTGCATCTATATAATTCTTCATTGAAAAATAACTGTTTCCAGAATCTTTTATTTTTTTAATAACCTCTGAGACATGCTTGTACTACAAATTTTGGTAATTACCAGAGCTTGATAACTTTATATAAAATTAAATAAATGATGAAAAAATGATATCAATTATATTTATATAAAATAAATACTTACAGTTAGTTTATCAGTGCATAATGCATAATCCCAGTCTTCTGGCCAAGGGGTATATATATCTTCTGAACCATCATTTTCTTCCAAGTTCCAATTCTCTCCTCTTTTCAATTCTCCACAATTAGTTATACAAATTTTCTGATAATAACAATAATAATTTTTATATAATAATGAAAAAATATAAAATAATATATAAATAATTATATCGTAAGAGCATTACCTCAATGGGCAGATCCTTAACAACTGGTACATTGTTAATTTCTATTACTATTCCCATACCTTTTATAACTTTGCCAAAAACAACATTGGTATTATCCAAATGTATGCAAGGAACAGTAGTGATAATGAACTGAGAACTATTGGTATTAGGGTGACCTTCATTTACCATACTCAATAATCCACCACGCGAATGTGAAATTTGAAAAGATTCATCCTCAAAATGAGGACCATATATACTTTCACCGCTAGTTCCATCAAAATTAATAATATCTCCTCCTTGAATCATAAACTGAGGTATCACTGAAATCAAATTGAAAAATTTAATAAATAGAAAAATATGTAATTTGAAAATTAATACTACATACCCTTATGAAATATCGATCCTTTGTAATGTAATTTCTTATTATTAATACCATTTCCCTTTTCTCCCGTACACAAAGCTCGAAAGTTTTCTGCCGTTCGTGGTGTTACATCCTTAAATAGTTCTATCACAATTCTTCCCACTAAATCAGTATGAAATCACCAATATATAAGTAACACTAATGTTACAACTGTTAAAAGGTACAAATATTTACCAAGCATTAAACGTACGAGAACGATTTTATGTAAGACAGTCAAATAATTGTTAATCGCGCGCCATAGAATGAAACAATCTTCCTTGTCCCAAAATTATTTAATTTCTATTCCCAAGTACCTTTTTCTGTTCCAATAGCAACATCTAGAAACACTAATGGATTTTTTTCAAACACATCCGTTTGATCCTCCAAAGGACGTTTCATGTTTCATTTAGCTAATTAACAAAGTTTATGATAGAACTTATCATATGCAATTTTTTACAATTTCCATAACATCGATAACCGTATTACATCGTAAGAATCAGCAATTATAAGCTAATATTACAGATAAGTTATAAGATAGACATAACATTTTATGGAATTCAATTATCGATAGTAAACAATTTACACTGACTGTCGAATTGACAATTTAATTGGAATTCAATGATTGAACTTTTCCCGTTGAGTCTGCTGAATCATGGACGAAGTTGATCCACTTCGTCGATGAATATCACATTGAATTATTATTACTTTTCTTTTAGTAAGGCAGATGGCAACATCATCGTGCAAACATAATTGAAAAAATAATTCTAATATGTAGTTAATATAAATTATAATGTAAATTATAATTCAATGCATGCATAAATTTTGATTTATTGACTTTTAATTTTGCATTATAGATTATGTATCTAATAATCTTTTACATCATGTGAATTACGAATTACGTATTTTGAATAACAAATCACGAAAAGAAAAAAAAAAGACACAGGTGGCAAAGGTCCCACCGAGATTTGAACTCGGATCGCTGGATTCAGAGTCCAGAGTGCTAACCATTACACCATGGGACCTTCCGAATTGTCGTTGTCTAAATTGTACAATAACAATTTTCTATATATTATTTTGTAAAAATAAAAGTACCTAATTATGTAATTGTGAAGTAATATATTTAAAATAAATTATATTTCAATTATATTAATTTTTAATGTGTTTCTAATAGATGCAAATTAATTTTTTCCAAAAATATAAATTTGTTTAGAAAAAGAATTAAAAATAAAGATATGATATATTTTTTCTTTCCATCCTTTTGTCTCTCTCTTTCTATAATGAATATATATTAATGAAATTTTTGAGAAAATAACGAATAATGCAGAACGTTATGTATAATAATAATAATTTTTAATATATTGGTGTATAATATTAATACCATTAACCTATACATATGAATTCAACAAGAATTCTGTCTATATATATATAAATTATAATAATATATATGTATATATATATGTGTGTATATAACATATAATATATATAATATATATTAATATATATAATATATATTATATATATAAACAAGCAATTGTTTATTAGGATGTTATTATAAGAATCATATATAGTTGAATATCTATAAACTATCTAGTGCTAGTGTGTATTACACAATATCACTATCAAAAGTTTTTCCCTTTATACTTAATAATATTTTTTATTTTTTCAATATTTCTTTCTAAGCAATCCTCATACAATTCGGCCATTAAACAATTCTTTCACTCATAATATCATACTTATGAGAAATACTTTTATTTATAGCACATATTTATCTATTGATATCTTGGACAATATTGCACAAAACAATGCACAAATAATTTGTCTTTTTAAGCATTGTATGTGCTACTTGAACAATAAAAATGTACAGATTTTTTTCTACTTTATAACAATGGGTAGTGTGCGCAAACTAATTTTTCTTTGACTTCCTTGCTTTATTAATTTGCCTTATTACACTTATTTATTATTCTTGCTAAGAAGTGTACTTGGCAAATTATTTTGAAAATTTTTCTGTACTAGTTTATTACGATTGATTAATATAAGAGCTATATAAAGTATTGATTTTAATGGGTGTCGATTATATATTATACAAATACAACCCCAAATAGAAATGCTGCTTTTTTTTCTAAAGCCAAGATGGGTAAAAGTGCATATTTAAAAACTTAATAGAAAAACAATAAGCGTTCCTGCGCACTACCAGAGAGTAGTCTCCATCCACGTTTAATATTCAAATATTGGATGATGGCGCGTACACAAATTAGAATACCTATAATGTAAAAGTTCATTAGCATATGATCATTTAATATAAAGATTATAATTTATACTAACCAAATGCCATTATCAACCACCATAGCCATGAGTTTTCTCGCGAAGCAAGATCAGTAGAATGTTTAACAATCAATGTCCATTTTGTCAATGAAAGGCCAAAACCAGATAATGCTCCATAACGAGAAGCAATTGTATGACAGAAGCACATCAAAAGAAGAAATCCAATCCAGTTGAATAAGAAAGCAACTGTAAGAAAAATTAAGGTAATGAATACAATATTTTTATAAGTATAAAAAAAAAAGTTAAAAGAAAAGGAGTGAAAATGTATTTTACCCAAGAATGCAGTAAAAAACATAAAATCAGTGCCAAGCAATCCGCTTTCTGGATCTCCTTCTGCAGCCTCTGTGTCTATAGCAAGAATTGTCAGTGGTTGTTGTTGAGGTCTAATACTACCAGGCTGTAAAAAAGTATATACAAAGATCATAATGATTAAAAAGAAATGAAAACATTTATTATAAGATTTATGAAATAAGAAGAATAAGCTTACCATGTGTATTTGAGGATGAGGTTCTCCTTGTAATGTTTTTTCACGTTGTACTTCTTCATAGCTAGGTAGTTTTGTAGCTACCTCGTAAGGAGGTGGCGCTGAAAAATCTGGTTTTGGTGGTGGTATTTCTTCAACCTCGGCCTATTATAATAATAATAAATTATTTAAAATTCATATTATATTATGATATTATTGAATGAATAGATATATTACCATTCTAGTTGTAACAGTAGCCTGGGCCATAGATGCGTTGTTGGAATGACCAAGCATACCTCCTTGTATGGCAGGCAGTGTCACAGTCAGCGAAGGTACTTCGTTACGTGGAGATGTTTCACCATTTGTATCATCATTTGTTTGGGATGGCTAAAATATTTTATCATAATATTCCACAAAAAAATTGAAACTTAATCCCTATATATGAAGCAATGAAATATTACTTTCACTTTTTTTTCTCTCTTTCTCATAAAAGTATCAGCAAAAGAGAACACCAAATAAAAGACATCAATTGTAAAATTATTCCAACGCACCTGTATGTTCTATTTGCTGTCTTTAGTTTTTAATTTGAATCATAGAAATATGATCATAATCATTTACTCGTTTATAGGAATGAACTTTATGACAGTGTAGGCATGGAAATTTTTATTTTATTATAGCAAAACAAGTGATAATCAACGAAGAGCAATGTGTGCATTTTTTACTTAGTCAACGCGTGTATTTAAGTTCTGTGAAGATATTTTTAGGTTTTTTTCTTTTCTTTTCTTTTTTTTCTTTTTTTTTCTTTTTTTTTTATTTTTTTTTCTTTTTTTTTTTTTTTTTCAATGCATTAGGCGAAAATGTAAAGATGTTCATCAAACGACAATGAAGCACAAAGCATCACGAGGAGCGGAGTGATGTGTCCTCAAAAGATGAAATATTTACGGTGTCCCGCAACATTCATAACACGTACCATATTGTAACGAATGTTACTATCCATTCCCAATCAGATTTGCACGAAACTTGTTAGCAATACTGTAATTTCGTGCGGAAGATGAAAATTATTTTTAATTACGATAAATGCTGCTTGCAAAATAGGAAAAAATTCTCACAATCGATGGCTGACAGCTGGTAAGATTGCAAGCGCCGTGAATCTTATATTTTTTCTGCATTCACGTCTATCATTCTTTCTTAAATGTTTATCTCTTATATTTTTTTCTATATACTGAAAAAAAAAAAACAACTATTCTCATGTATACCAGTTAATATCTGCCATTTTTATAAAATATCATACATGTTGCAATAAGCTTAGTTTAATTGAAAATAAATTGAAAATCATTTATATGTTTCATATACAAACGCATTTGTACGCATTGTAAACGAGACTTTAGGACGGGACTGTAGCGTACAGGAATTCAGAATGTTACCGGAAGTTTACAAATTAGGAATATTTACATGTAATTTCAATATTTTTTAAACATTTTCAATACATATACTTTATTTAAATGTATTAATTTAAAAAATTTTTTAGATGTATGAAAATAAAAAGCGACTTAGTCGTGAAGAAAAAAAACAGTTATGCATTTGACTAGAGCATAGAGGAGGGGATGATTTGGATTACGTCGTCGTGCACAAACGACGCTCTCCTCATCAGTCAGTCGCTTGCGGTTCGTGAGCGAAGAGATAGTGGTTATACGTCGATTATGTCTGAAATGTACAAACTAGGTGATTTGGTATGGTGTGTATCAATTGAGTGATAAATTGTTCGATCTCTATATCAAGAATCTGTGAAACTATTTTGAAGAGTGATGATTGATCGTTAATTTTTGTAAATTTCAGGGCGAAGATGAAGGGATTTTCACCGTGGCCTGGCCGGGTAAGTCTTTGGAATCGGTTCTTCGGTAACGGTTCTCTGACTTAATGTTACATATCGTATCCAGTCGCGCGCGCCACGAAGTCGAACGCGCCATCGTTATTAGGCGGGATTTTCTACGACTCATGGGTTTTCTGCTAATATTTTCACTTTTTTTCATTGAAAATCGACATATTTTTGATACATTTTATATGGCTATGAACGTTACCATGTTGCTCATTCGTCTTACGTATCTCCCGCCACACCCGACCTTCGAATTCAAATTGGCGCGCTAGTTACAAAAATATAACCTAAATTCGCTTCTCCTTAAGTTCCCCCTCCTTTTCCTCTTTCGCGGACTGTTTGTCTTTATCATGGATCTCTATGATGTTTGCAATAGGAATACGACATATCCATCGTATTCTACTTTAACACGTGATTGAGTAATATTTTTCTATTAACTTCGAAACATTTGCTACATGTTTTTTTTTTTTTTAAATTCGCAATAATTCTCATGCATCTAGCCACCTATATGTATTTGCGCGGGAACTATGAGGTTCCCTAATTCATTTATACGTGTATGTCAAATTTATTTATTATTCGTCTAATTTTCGACATTTGTAATAAGATTTTGGAATAATAATTACAACAATATTTTTGTATAATTATTATTTATATAGTAATAAAATGTTAGATTTGCTTTCATATAATGGATAGGCTATTTCTTTTAATTACAATGTGTACAAAAATGCTTGTATAAAAAAGGTCTGTGTCTCTTTAATGAACTATATATTTGCAAATTTATAAAATATTTATCTGTAGAATAAGTTAAATGAAGCAAAATACATGATAACTTTTATGGTAGTGCTATGATGCAATCATTGGGACATACTTTGTCTTATACTAATTTAAACGTGATATCCGAAGGTATCCATTCCTTCGAAGGATTTGAAGAAACCAGGAAATACTAAGAGAGGACCAGTACAATGTATTTTCTTCTTTGGAACTAATAATTAGTAAGTTCATGTTTAAGTTCGTTGTTTTTTCTTTTTATTTATTTATTTATTTATTTATTTTTTTCTTTTTTTTTTTTCATTCTTTATTTCTTAATAGTATTTTCGTTAGTTATGTCAGTCTTTACATTCAAAGATGCATTTCTTCTAGTGCATGGATAGAAGAATCCAATATCAAACCATACCAACAATATAAAGATACTTTGGTAAAGTCAAGTAAGTCTATTGCTTTTAAAGATGCAGTGGAAGCTATAGAAGAATTTATTGCCAAAGGAGAGGTAAATTTATTATTTAAGGTTTCTTAAGTTCTTCCAATAATAATTTTCATATATTCATAATTTGATATAATAGAAATATATTTTGTTCGTTATATACTGTCTTTAAAATTCAAATATTAAAATGCTTTTGTTATTCCATATTAGAAAATTTGACTTTTTTAAATAAATATTTATCTATATGAATAAATAAGACATCTTGTGTAAAAATATTTATATGCTTTAGGTTTTTGAAGATGGCTTAGATCCAGATTCGTTATTTGACAGACTGAAAGAAGACACGTTATCTACAGAAAAGAAAATAGTTACAAAAATACCGAAACCACGCAAGGTGAGATTTTGTATTAACTCTGTATTTTTTATATTATATATTTGATTATCCCTTTTGATTTTAATTATGTTGCACCTTTCAATAATAGAGGAATTTTTGATTTGTTAAATGAAGATTTTGTAATTAAAATTTCAAATGCACTATTAAAATAGGAAACACCGAAAGCTAAAAGACTGGATAGTGGTGCCAGTGACACACGTCGTCCAGCCAAAAAACAACGCAGAGAATCCAGTACAAGCAATAGTAACAGAGTCGGCAGTATTAGTCCTGCACTAAATCATTCTACTCCTACTAGGAAGTCAGGATCAACTCTTCTAAACAGGCCAGCCAATATCACCAGACCTGTAAGTTATTATATTATTTTTAATCAAAATAAGTTTCGTTTTCAATCAGTCGCAGATATAATAATTTTCAAGAGATTATATTTAATAGATATTAACAGTGTTAATTATTCGATACCTTTATACTTTCCTAAGAAACTAATGAGAAACTTAAAAATTCTCTTTCCTTTAATTCCTATTGGGAAGTATAATATAATTAATGAATAATTATTCATAATTCTATATTTGCAATAATAATTGATTTATAAATAATATGCGACTGTTAATTAATACTTTTATTTAACTAAATATAATAAAAAATATCGTGGATAACAATTTATACAAATTTCATAATTGTGCCTATTTCTTATGTTTTCTATTAATTTCATTGAATGATTTTTGATTAATTCTGTTTTTAAAGATAATACATAATTGCTACATTAATATAGTAATATTGATTTTTATAGTTACAGCATAAAATAATAGATTTATTTTGCTGTTCATACAAGGTTTTATATAATCTCAAATTAAAAATAAATTAATATTTTATTAGTAAACATTATCTATATGAAAATCTTTAAGTAGGTAATTTTTATAAATTATAGTTAATTAATTTTTATATGAAATAATGTTCATATGTATATTTTCACAATTATACGTTTATAAAAATATCATATGAAAGTTTTAAGATAAAATCATCAAAATTATATCAATTAAAAGGAATGAATAGTCCGTTTATCTTTCCTTTTTTTTTTCTTTTTTTTCTTTTTTTCTTTTTTAACTTTTGTGAGGTTTTACGATGTATTAGTTGTTCAACTTATCAAAGATAGTTAAGTACTCAGTCTTGCAAAAAATTTACGAAAATATAGTATAAAAAAATTAAACATACTATATGTTTAATTATAGATACATGTTTTATTTATTGGCAAAAATACTACCAAATTAATACAAATGAGAAAGAAATATAATTTTCATAGATGCATATATATATATATATATATATATATATATATATATATAATATATACATGCTATATTGATTGCATCAATAGTGAGTACACACTACTAATACTTAGTTCTTCACCTGAGGCATGATGCAATTTTCAAGCTACTATGAAGTAAATAATGCACGTATTTACGCTAACATTTTGTTAATGTGTTAACAATTTATACGATGTTTATTCATATATTTTACGCATTTCATATAAATAATTGAAATTCTAAGTAATTTTCTTCCTTTATAATGTGCAATATAAATATACGTACAAATCCATTAAATATTTATTTAAATTATTTTTATTAAATGAATCTTACGTACTTGAAGTATAGTTATTTAATATTTCAAGTATAATTTTATAATAAAATTGTAATAATGATAGCAAAAAAGAAAGATTAAGATTAAAAATAACATTTTTTTTTCTTTTTTTAAATTTCTTATTACTTTTACTTCCTTTAAGATATTCTTTAACGAATGATTTCTCGTCCTATTTGAAATTTAATCGTCTGTTACACTTTGTGCAACAGGTAACACCACCTCTAGATGTTGAAACATTATCTCAAACACTCAAAGAGAAGAATATCCTTCCTTCGAATTTGAAATTTGGTTTCCTCGGTTTGGGAATTATGGGCAGCGGCATCGTAAAAAATTTGATCAACAGTGGGCACAGCGTGATAGTGTGGAATCGAACGCAAGAAAAGGTATGTACCTCGTGCGCCATTTTTTCTTTTTCTTTTTTTTTTCTTTTTTTTTTCTTTTTTTTTTTTCTCGATAACACAGATAAACATAAAATTAAAAAGGAAATTTTTTAACGAGTATTAATGATATATATATATATATATATATATATATATATATATATATATATATATGTATATTTTTCAAAGGTATAATTAATGCATATAACTAAAATCAACTATATCAATGAACTTATGATGGTGATAACATTAAACATTTTACCATGAATATGTAATCATTATCGTTATAATTATACAGTAAAATGGTAATATTTTCTATCAATTTCTTCATCTTCGCGCTCTATCGCGTGGGCGGGTAACACGTATTCAACGTTGAACGTTCGAACATATTGATAAGCCATGCAGATTTATTGGTCCAATTAATAAGAATTTTATTCCGAAGATGTATTGGGTCAGTACATCGAACTTGAAACGATTATGTAAATTATATTTTTAGAAACAAGAGTGAATTAGCGTGCACATTTTCTAGTGCAGTGCTTGCTTGTCATTACTTTATCTTAATCGTACAAACCTCGTTGCTACGTATCGAGCTTCGATTTTTTTTTTTTTTTATTTTTTTCTTTTTTTTTTTTTTTATTTTTTTTTTGGGAGATGGTATTTTTTTTTTTTTTTAAAGAAGGATACTGAACTTTGATAGAAAGAGAGGGAAGAGGGATGTTTAAAAACAATAGTTTCGTTATGCGTGTAAAGTAATTATATTTTTACGATTAATATAGTCTATATGTATATATGTATATGTATATATACATATATATATATATATACATATATATATATATATACATATATATATATATATTTATTTATTTATTATTTAAATCATATTGATAATTGACGAAAAAATGTCTGAGATTTTTTTTTGTTCTCGGAAAAAAGTTATAATTTATCATATAAAAGAAAAATATGTTATCTTAGAAAATATTTTTATATTGATAATATATATATATATATATATATATATATGTGTTTATTTGTCAATACGCAATTAATGGATCTTTCTTTCATTAAAAAAAGATAAAGATATTTCATTGCCGATGTTATCCCAATTTTTTGTTTCATCTCGTATTCTATAAATTTACTCGTACTTTTATTTGAAGTAATAGAATAAATAAAACTCCGAGAGTTTTCAATAGCCATGCTCGTATCGTTTTATCATTCGTCGTGTAAACTATAAATGATGTTTAGGTTGTATACTCGATATATCGTTTTAAAGACAAATTTTATCGAAAGTTATTCTTTGGAATTCGGAAATGATATTT